CATAAGGTTGTGTAGGGTTTCTTATACATCCTGGACAGTTCGGCCACACTTGTACCACTTTCATATTGTTCAATGATGGTTTTCTTAAATTCAGTCATATTTCTCACCTTCTTTACCACAGGCTTGGCACTAGGAGCTTTCTTTGGAGCCATGGTAGCTTATTTAGTACTTATTATTATTTTTATTTTTATTATCACACCGGCCGATTCCCACCAAGGCAGGGTGGCCCGAAAAAGAAAAACTTTCACCATCATTCACTCCATCACTGTCTTGCCAGAAGGGTGCTTTACACTACAGTTTTTAAACTGCAACATTAACACCCCTCCTTCAGAGTGCAGGCACTGTACTTCCCATCTCCAGGACTCAAGTCCGGCCTGCCGGTTTCCCTGAATCCCTTCATAAATGTTACTTTGCTCACACTCCAACAGCACGTCAAGTATTAAAAACCATTTGTCTCCATTCACTCCTATCAAACACGCTCAAGCATGCCTGCTGGAAGTCCAAGCCCCTCGCACACAAAACCTCCTTTACCCCCTCCCTCCAACCCTTCCTAGGCCGACCCCTACCCCGCCTTCCTTCCACTACAGACTGATACACTCTTGAAGTCATTCTGTTTCGCTCCATTCTCTCTAACATGTCCGAACCACCTCAACAACCCTTCCTCAGCCCTCTGGACAACAGTTTTGGTAATCCCGCACCTCCTCCTAACTTCCAAACTACGAATTCTCTGCATTATATTCACACCACACATTGCCCTCAGACATGACATCTCCACTGCCTCCAGCCTTCTCCTCGCTGCAACATTCATCACCCACGCTTCACACCCATATAAGAGCGTTGGTAAAACTATACTCTCATACATTCCCCTCTTTGCCTCCAAGGACAAAGTTCTTTGTCTCCACAGACTCCTAAGTGCACCACTCACTCTTTTTCCCTCATCAATTCTATGATTCACCTCATCTTTCATAGACCCATCCCTGACACGTCCACTCCCAAATATCTGAATACGTTCACCTCCTCCATACTCTCTCCCTCCAATCTGATATTCAATCTTTCATCACCTAATCTTTTTGTTATCCTCATAACCTTACTCTTTCCTGTATTCACCTTTAATTTTCTTCTTTTGCACACCCTACCAAATTCATCCACCAATCTCTGCAACTTCTCTTCAGAATCTCCCAAGAGCACAGTGTCATCAGCAAAGAGCAGCTGTACAACTCCCACTTTGTGTGTGATTCTTTATCTTTTAACTCCACGCCTCTGCCAAGACCCTCGCATTTACTTCTCTTACAACCCCATCTATAAATATATTAAACAACCACGGTGACATCACACATCCTTGTCTAAGGCCTACTTTTACTGGGAAAAAATTTCCCTCTTTCCTACATACTCTAACTTGAGCCTCACTATCCTCGTAAAAACTCTTCACTGCTTTCAGTAACCTACCTCCTACACCATACACTTGCAACATCTGCCACATTGCCCCCCTATCCACCCTGTCATACGCCTTTTCCAAATCCATAAATGCCACAAAGACCTCTTTAGCCTTATCTAAATACTGTTCACTTATATGTTTCACTGTAAACACCTGGTCCACACACCCCCTACCTTTCCTAAAGCCTCCTTGTTCATCTGCTATCCTATTCTCCGTCTTACTCTTAATTCTTTCAATTATAACTCTACCATACACTTTACCAGGTACACTCAACAGACTTATCCCCCTATAATTTTTGCACTCTCTTTTATCCCCTTTGCCTTTATACAAAGGAACTATGCATGCTCTCTGCCAATCCCTAGGTACCTTACCCTCTTCCATACATTTATTAAACAATTGCACCAACCACTCCAAAACTATATCCCCAACCTGCTTTTAACATTTCTATCTTTATCCCATCAATCCCGGCTGCCTTACCCCCTTTCATTTTACCTACTGCCTCACGAACTTCCCCACACTCACAACTGGCTCTTCCTCACTCCTACAAGATGTTATTCCTCCTTGCCCTATACACGAAATCACAGCTTCCCTATCTTCATCAACATTTAACAATTCCTCAAAATATTCCTTCCATCTTCCCAATACCTCTAACTCTCCATTTAATAACTCTCCTCTCCTATTTTTAACTGACAAATCCATTTGTTCTCTAGGCTTTCTTAACTTGTTAATCTCACTCCAAAACTTTTTCTTATTTTCAACAAAATTTGTTGATAACATCTCACCCACTCTCTCATTTGCTCTCTTTTTACATTGCTTCACCACTCTCTTAACCTCTCTCTTTTTCTCCATATACTCTTCCCTCCTTGCATCACTTCTACTTTGTAAAAACTTCTCATATGCTAACTTTTTCTCCCTTACTACTCTCTTTACATCATCATTCCACCAATCGCTCCTCTTCCTCCTGCACCCACTTTCCTGTAACCACAAACTTCTGCTGAACACTCTAACACTACATTTTTAAACCTACCCATACCTCTTCGACCCCATTGCCTATGCTCTCATTAGCCCATCTATCCTCCAATAGCTGTTTATATCTTACCCTAACTGCCTCCTCTTTTAGTTTATAAACCTTCACCTCTCTCTTCCTGATGCTTCTATTCTCCTTGTATCCCCTCTACCTTTTACTCTCAGTGTAGCTACAACTAGAAAGTGATCTGATATATCTGTGGCCCCTCTATAAACATGTACATCCTGAAGTCTACTCAACAGTCTTTTATCTACCAATACATAATCCAACAAACTACTGTCATTTCGCCCTACATCATATCGTGTATACTTATTTATCCTCTTTTTCTTAAAATATGTATTACCTATAACTAAACCCCTTTCTATACAAAGTTCAATCAAAGGGCTCCCATTATCATTTACACCTGGCACCCCAAACTTACCTACCACACCCTCTCTAAAAGTTTCTCCTACTTTAGCATTCAAGTCCCCTACCACAATTACTCTCTCACTTGGTTCAAAGGCTCCTATACATTCACTTAACATCTCCCAAAATCTCTCTCTCTCCTCTGCATTCCTCTCTTCTCCAGGTGCATACACGCTTATTATGACCCACTTCTCGCATCCAACCTTTACTTTAATCCACATAATTCTTGAATTTACACATTCATATTCTCTTTTCTCCTTCCATAACTGATCATTTAACATTACTGCTACCCCTTCCTTTGCTCTAACTCTCTCAGATTTAGTACTTGCAAGCACTAAAATAAATGGAATATTATGAAATATTTCACTGGAGCACGTGAGGGGACCTTCGCTCACTGGTAAACAATGCCAGACTGGCTGCCGCCCCGGCTCACGCCGTGGGTACGTGTCCCGGACGAACTACGACTCGCGAGTCAACCTATGAAAAGCGAGTCCATGTTTATATGAAAATACCCCTATGATTGGCGAATTTTACGATTGCCGGGAACTACAAAAAGCGGGGGACCACTGTACTTTTAGTCCGTATCCATTCAAAATCATCTCTAGTTCTCTAATATATCTTCCATTCTATCAAATGAGACCAAGGAAATGAGAATACATCCATAAATACCATACAAAAATACACTGCAAAATCACTGTTTTAAACGAAAAACATGGTCGGAGTTTTTTTCTCATTATGCACTGTGTGCTGCAGAATTTTTTTTATACTGCGCACACTGACCACTCAGACCCATTCTCTCATATGTAGGCCTGCCAGCTTTCTCCCACAAGACTGGAAGCCTCTAGAATTTTGATGTACTATTACAGGACCAACACTGGTTTGCAAGCCGTAATATTATGGGACCAACAGTGAAAATGGTTAATAACTATAAGCTAAGGATGAAAATATTTTAAGGTGAATAATGTGTGTGTACAGTATATGCATTTTTTAGGCCTAGCTCTATTGCTTACTTAATATATGTTAGTGTAAACATGTTACCAGGCTTTTAATACATTTAAAAGTGAAAAAAGTTATGATTCACTTTACAGAGATTTTCACTTTACAGCAGTAACCAGAACTTAATCTGCTGTATAAGTAAGGCCCTCCTTTACAGCAGTAACCCAGAACTTAATCTGCTGTATAAGTAAGGCCCTCCTTTACAGCAGTAACCCAGAACTTAATCTGCTGTATAAGTAAGGCCTTCCTTTACAGCAGTAACCCAGAACTTAATCTGCTGTATAAGTAAGGCCCTCCTTTACAGCAGTAACCCAGAACTTAATCTGCTGTATAAGTAAGGCCCTCCTTTACAGCAGTAACCCAGAACTTAATCTACTGTATAAGTAAGGCCCTCCTTTACAGCAGTAACCCAGACTTAATCTGCTGTATAAGTAAGGCCCTCCTTTACAGCAGTAACCCAGAGCTTAATCTGCTGTATAAGTAAGGCCCTCCTTTACAGCAGTAACCCAGAGCTTAATCTACTGTATAAGTAAGGCCCTCCTTTACAGCAGTAACCTGGAACCTAACCTGCTGTATAACTGGGGCCAGCCTGTATAATAATAATAACAACTACCTTCTACTCCATGGGAAAGTGAAGAAGAAACCTTCTTTCGTAAGCCATGCATGTTGTAAGAGGTGACTAAATTGCTGGGAGCAGGGGTCTAGTAACCTCCTTCTGTATAAAAAAAACTGCCTTTTAGCTATATTAAAGTTATCACAGGTTATGAAAAATGGTTACCTCAAAAAAAAAAATTATTTGTTTGAGCATCAAACTCATACAAAAATCAAGAATTAATTAACAGCCATACTGTTGCAGTAGGAAAATTCTTAATTTATTATAACAAATTTGAATGCTATTTGGTTGATTTATACAAGTTAATGGAATGAAACTGTCCCTTAGACTTACTGGTGAAACACATTTTTTAATTTGCTCAATATAAAATAATTTTTCAACGTCAAGAACAACATGGAATTACAGTTCCGTACATCCGAAATAATCTATTACGTGATGTGTCATGCAAAACTGTATAATGTTCTTTATTTTATGTCTTTCATATTCTGTATATTAAATAATAACGATAATTATCTTTTCAACAGCCACGAAGGTCCTCACAAAAGGAGAAAAGCGTAAAATAAAGGAGAAAGCAAAACTGAAGAGAAAATTAGAAGACCTTGACAAACCAAAAGAGGAAGATGCGACAGAAGACTATATGGAAGCCATTAAAAATACTGGAACAGTAAGGAGGAGAAGAAGAGAGATGCTGTGAAGAATGTGGTCATGAAAAGACATAGAAGAATATGTACAAGAGATGTCTTCTGAAGAGTGTGTGGTGTCTCTCTCTATCATCTCATAACTGACACTGACCTGTTTCAACAACTTCAGCCTCTATCCTTATTGTCAATGTTTATTTATTAGCCACTCCAGCCTTTCCCTCTTCCCATCTATATTTTTTCCTTTGCCATGCAAGACTATGTCTCTAACAGGTTACGTGCTTTCCATGAATATAGAAGAGCGTGGCTATAAACATTGAAACAATGAGAAGATGTACATCTTCTGTTTCTGACAGACAACAATGTTACAGTGCGTGAGCATTTAAATTTAAGGGGAACCCTTGGTTTTCGTAGCCCTAGTCTGTATGAAAACTATAGTTTTTTTTTAAAAAATGTTTTTTTTTTTTAACTTTTCACGTAAAAAAAATGAAATCCATTAAATCCTTCCAGACACCCAAAAAATATTAACAAAAAATGCATTTATAGAGAACAACAATATTTTACGTAAAACTAGGCATAGAAAGCCGAGGTTCCACTGTACTATATGGACTTACCTGGAGGGGGGAAGTACAGTTCCCACTCTGAAGGAGGGTTTTGAACTGTAGTGGGGAAACTCCTGGGGCAAGCAGTGAGGGAGTGAGTGATGATGAAAGTGTTTTTTTTCTTTTTCAGGTTCCCTCCTTAGGGGGAAATGGCTGATGTGTTAATAAATAAAAAATGTATTTTAAAACTAACCCACAAATTGGAAAGGAAATTTTGACTTGTTTTGGTCCCCCATTTTCATTATACCACCCGGGTAAAAGAAATAATAATAAAATTATAAAAAATTAGTGTGATAGTATGAGTAAGAGGGATGAGGGCCAGGAGCTATGACCAACACCCCAAATAAACATACTTTTAAAAAATTCCTCTATAAATTGAAAATTGCTGCCCCGTAATGTGATTTTATTCTTTACAGTATCGAAATTTTTCTCTTAAAAAACTTTTTAGTGCAGGAACTTCTAAACAGTTTATTTTTCCCGCTCATGATCTCAACAACTTGAATTTAAAAAAAATTTTTTATAGAAAAAATTTCCTTATATATAATATTTTTTTTTTATTATCACATTGGGCCCGTTTCCCCCCGCCAAGGCGGGGTGGCCCGAAAAAGAAAAACTTCACCATCATTCACTCCACACTGTCTTGCCAAAGGGGGCTTTACAGTACAGTTTTTAAAAATGCAACATTAACCCCCTCCTTCAGGTGCAGCACGTAACTTCCCCCTCTCCAGGACTCAAGTCCGGCCCCCGGGTTTCCCCGAACCCCTTTTAAAATTTTCTTTGTCACACTCCAACAGCACGTCAAGTATTTAAAACCATTTTCTCCATTCACTCCTATCAAACACCTCGGGGCAAGCCCGCGGGAATCCAAGCCCCTCGCACCAAAACCCCCTTTACCCCCCTCCCTCCAACCTTTATGTTCCTTTTATAAATTTTCCCTTTTGGTAATTAGTGATAATTGTTATAACATGGGGGGGGGGGGGGCACTAAACTGTAGGATTTTAAAATGCCTGTGGGGGGGGAATGGGAAGGTATTCAGGCTCAGTTTTAGGGAACCGGAGCACAGATCCAATTCCCTGATCAAGACCCCCCCAGCACATGGAACTCCCTTTAAGGGGGTAATTTTGTGATGTTATTAATTTTTGGCGTTTACATATTGTATTATTAATAATTTTACCCGTTTAAAATCTGTATTATTAAAAATTGGGTGTTAATATACTGTATTATTTTATTATAATCATAACAAAACACTAAACCATAAGGGGCAACATGCTGTTATACTTGCTTTTTTTATCTCTTCATGGATGTACCTTTATGCTGTAGGGCTCTTTTCAAGAGCTTACCTACCCTTCTTCCCCGGATCAAACCTATTTCTAAAAGCTGTGTTTTACTATGGGCTTATTTCTTCCCCATTATTATAATCCCATCTTACTACCAGGCCTCGTTAGGGAGTAATGGGTGCCTTGATGCTGGTAATGGGATCTAGATCCAAGGAACTCAGTCATCTCCATTTCCTAGGATCAAACATAATGCCCATTCTTGAGGAGCTGTATGTCCCTTATGGGTTTAGTGCTTTCCCATGAACATTCTGTAATAATTTTAAAGTCATTTTAACACAATAATAATTTGGATAAATTAAAAGTTGTAATAGGATATCCTTTTATTTTATCCCCATCAGGGTTTTGTATTATAAAGAATATAAAATCTTACATCTTTGGATGTGATTAAATTCACAAATATAACAGTAAACACGAAATAAATATATACATCACAATAAATTTGGTACGCTTTAGAAGAGCACGTAAGACAAGGACTGAACTTGAGGCCCTGAATCCCCATGTATGTTAGACCAGAGGTTCCCAAACTGGGGTACCATGACCTACCCCAGGGGTACGAGAAGAAGTTTTTGGGGTACGCAGGTGAGATTTATAATGTTGATGTTATTGTTGATTTTTTTTTTTTTAACTTTGTATTCAGTATTTATCAATATTGAATAAAAATTAATTTAATTTTCACAGGATATACACACTGCAAGGTGTATTTATCTCAGTGTATATATGCTGAGACTTTAAATCCCTATTTAAGTATTTTTGTCTTGTGGTGAAAAGGTTACCATGCAGCCTTAATGACCCTTGTGTAGTCAATAAGCTTTAAACCCTATTAACAAACCATTTAATCCTATCTGCATATCTTTAACTATTATTTGTATTAAGTTATTTTTGACATCTGTACAAAGGGATAAAGGTTTAGTGTAAAATGCCAAGGAGTAAATGACTAAGTTTGGGAACCATTGCTACAGACTCTTCAAGGGTGGAACAGTGCCTTGATACTGAAGGGCTTTTGACCCAAGGAATTGGAACTAGCCTCCCTTTCCTTTGATCAAACCCAATTACCTCCCATTCCCCAGGCGCCGTATATCCCCTACAGGTATTGCACTCTCCCATGATAATCATAAACTTAGAAACTCTGACCTAAACATATTTTACACAAACACATTTACACAATTCTTATGAAAAGTACAAACCATATTTCCTTAATGTAAATAAGGTTACCAAGATTGTCATGCCTTTATAAGTATATAAATTGCATGATACAAGCATCCACACTGGAATTGTATAAAAACTCACTTGAGTGATGTATTCCCTTATTTTGGGCAGTAAAGTTTGACCTACCCCACAGTAATATAATACACATTCTAATTAAATAGCAAAAATAAATTTTACGTGATAATTGTCATTGGGAGCAAGGGGCTAGTAACCCCTTCTCCAGTATAAATTACTAAATTTAAAAAGAAAAACAAAAGTTTTTCTTTTTAGGTCACCCTGCCTTGATGGGATACGGTCGATGTGTTGAAAAAGAAAATTGTCATGTAACAATTTTTTAAATGTTAATACCTTCTACTGAATCAATGTTGAACCCTTCAAGGTACCCTGAGCCTGGTGAAGGGCTCCTGATCCAAGGATCTGAAGCTACTTTTTCCTTGGATCAGCAGCACTGTATGACCCAACTGGGTTTAGTGCTTGTCTTTAATAATAATACTACCATGGATTAAACCTAATTACCTGTCATTTCCCAGGTGTTGTATAACCCCTACAGGTTTAGCACTTCCCTATGAAATGTAATTGATATAAAATCCAGTTACTGTAAATTGAGTGATCATTAGTACCTTACTGCTGCAACATCCCCACAAGCATAGCACAGGTTTAACAATGTTTCATACATGATGTCAAAATGAGATCAGGTCACTGGGGTTGAGTAGGCACTGCTATGAAGCTGATAGCAGGTGCCAGGGTCGAGACTTTAGAAGCCACTGGAACCCCAATCCTGCGGTGGTGTGTCTCCATGTGTTTGGCTAAGTGATCAGAACGCATGAATTTTGTGTTGCACGATGTGCATTCAAACTTTTTCTCTCCGGTATAGTTCTCCTGTGGCTGGATAATTCGTCTGCTCTGGCAAAACGTCTGTCACAGCCATTCCAAGAACACTGGTAAGGTTTTTTGCCCGTGTGTGATCTCATGTGCGATTTAAGATGAGATGATTTGTAATACGTTTCATCACAGCCTTCAAATGAACACTTAAACGCTCTTTTTCTATCTTCCTGTGGAGTTTGTTCTGGGGATGCTGAAACCAAAATGGGTGACAGCACCTGCGAAACAGTAGTACCATTACTTCCAGGAGTTGTTACAATTAGATGAGTGATCCCAGCACCAGCTGCTGGAATCACAGTGGGAGATCCATTAATCTGAGCCAGGAACACTGAGCTGCCAGAGTTTACTGGAATCACAGACGGCATCTTTGGTGCAATTGCCACAAGCTTATTACTAGCACACGGTGCTCTACTAGAGACGGAGATATTTTTGTGTGTGGCTTCATTAGGAGGTTGCTGAACAGGTACAAAGTAGCACTTACTGTCGCTAGCAATGGGTGTTCCTTGAGCTCCACGGTCTGTGTCCTTGTTATGCACAAAGATTTGCTCCTGAGCATTGTTAACCTTGCGTGGTGGGCAAAGGTTATTAGTGCTGCTGTTGTAAGTTGAAGGCAGGAACGTATACTGACGTTCATTATTAAAATATCCTTTCTCTTCCTCGTCTTTACAATTAAAATCACTGTTATCATATATTTTGCGTTCAGCTAATGTGCGAGGTCTCTCACTCTTGACTCCTGGGGCAACCTTCTGTCTGCTTTGACGATGACCGAGACAGGAACCCCAGACAGGGACCCCGGTGCGGATGCTCCTGATGTAAAGCTGGAGAAGACAGCCGGGCTAGGGGACACAGCTGGGCTGGGGGAGAGAGCAGGGCTGGGAGAACGAGGAGGAGTACATGGGGTGTGAGGTGGAGTCTCATTCATCAAGATCTGAAACACAAAAAAATATACATATAAGAATACAAATGCTTTATTAGTAGTAGTATTTGTAGCATACGCTATATAAGGCACTAAACCCCTGTGGGCCATTCAGCTCAAGAAGTAATGGAGCTCACTTCATGTGTTGCAGCAATCAAACTACTCAAAATGCTAATGTAATTTATGCTACAATGTCAATGTCTGACATTCACAATTTTGTTAACTTTTTATCTTGAAACTAATCAGTTATTAATCAATTTAATCATTATAACTATTCTCTTGTCATAATCATCATTACGTTGAGAAATTTAACTGAAGATTTGTTTATATTTAAGTGTGATGAGCTAACTCGACCCTAGTGGATTTAGCACTTCTTTTTTATTATAACAATGAGCTAACTAAACCTTCAAGATGAAAGACAAATAATCTCCATTTACCTTGGCAAATTCAGGTTCTTTCACTAGTCCTTTCTGGACAAAGATGTATGTATCACACAACCCTTCCACGTCTGACTCTAGTGGATGAGAGGGAGAGATCCCCCCGTGTGAGGATGGTGGTGATGGTGGCAGCTCTGGGATGTTGTTCTCACACACTGGGCTGTTCCATCTCATGTCATGCTGAGAGAATGAAAGCAACATCTCCACTGCTTCCAGGTCTTCGGCACCAGTGTGTGCAAAGTTGTTGTCTGGCCTCGATGGGACAGAACCTCCATAAACTGGGCTTCTGTAGTCTTTCAACCCTGCTTGTCTAAGATCCTCTCTGCTTCTATCTCGATATTCATCCAAGCCTTTCTGTTTATTATCTTCTTGGTTAATCTGTCTGTTATCTCCCAGTTCTGTGTATCTGTATTCCTTTACAATTTGCTTGTAGGCTCTCTCTGTGTATGATGAGTATCTGTGATCACTTGCTCCTCCAGTCTTTTGGGCACAATGTTCTCAAGTCTTCTGCCTGTAAAAGAAAGAACAAACATGAATATTGCAACTGTACAAGTAAATTATGGTACGAATATTTTTAATTAAAGATAAACATTGTGCCATGTTCTATCCTCGGTAAGTGCGAAGTTATGGAAACTGGAGGAGAGAGAAGACCAGATATAGAATACAGACTGGGGAACAGAGGCAGCTCCAGAGGTTTGGAAGAAGGGGTTAGGGGACTTGAATAATCATTATCATTATTATTATTATTATTATTATTTGTGGCTTAAGTTCCCATTATTATGTATTATCAGCAGATATTCACAAGATCTGACCTGGCAAGCACCAGACAAGCCTGGTACAAATCCACCAGCAACAACAACCTGGTTGACCAAGTAAGCACCAGACAAGTCTGGTAGAAAACCACCAGCAACAACAACCTGGTTGACCTGGCAAGCACCAGATAAGCCTGGTACAAAACCACCAGCAACAACCTGGTTGACCAACAAGGGGCTCTTGGTCCAAAAATTGAACTTATCCTCCCCTTTCTTGGATCAAACCTGAATGTTCCCCCTTTCCCAGGTACTATACTATAAGGAAGATGGAACACTGCAACAGGCCTACTGGCCCATGAGTTGTATAACATAAGGAAGATGGAACACTGCAGCAGGCCTACTGGCCCATGCTAGGCAGGTTCGTCTTCTAGTGGCTTAAGCCAATGACCCAACCTAGTCAGGTCAGGTCACATTCACTTAAGGAAGGAACACGGCAACTGACCTAGTAGCACAAGTTAGTGAGGTCCAACTCACACCCAGTCATGTATTTATCTAACCTATTTTTAAAACTACACAACGTTTTAGCCTCAATAACTGTACTTGGGAGTTGTTCCACTCATCCACAACTCTATTACCAAACCAGTGCTTTCCTATATCCTTCCTGAATCTGAATTTTTCCAACTTGAAACCATTACTGCGAGGCATGTCTAGGCTAGATATTTTAAGACAGGATATAGGGGACTATATAGGAGGGGCTATATAAGAGGGAATATATGAGAGGATATATATATAAATAACATCCTAGCATGAGGCTGCTTGAAGATATCTAGGGCAACTATCATTTTCACCTGGAAGCGCTAAATCTTTAAGGGTTACACATAAGGGGAAATCTGAGGTAACCAGCCACGATCCATGGAATAAGGAGTAGCTCCAATGACCCGGATTAAGAGCCTGTGGATGAAATCTCATTTAAACGGGGGCCGTGGTAGACTAGCACGGCGCCCGTCCTGCCTGAGGCTCCATTATGTTGTTGGCACTTATTCCTTATTCACCCCTTATACCCTCGTGTAGTACATAGGCTTTAAATACATTGCTGTATAACCCTTGTGGCTTAGCGCTTTTTTTATTATAATAATAATTTAATCAATTAACCATTAAGTTTATTCCGCTCGATGCACTCACAGGAGTAACTTTTGACTCTATGAAAAAGTTCCTTACCCCTGGTTAAGCCTTTTTTGGGGGCCCTAGATGTTGTGGGCTACATTAAACATTGCATTATTTATAAATATCCCAGTTTTTTGATAAAACCACTTTTTCGGGGGGCTGGACATTATTTTTACACTTCGATTGCGGAACATAATTGTTGGTTTTTTTAAAAGTCTTTTCAAAATGGAAACATTTTAAAGGGCTAGGTTACTTGGTGGGGGCTGACCGGACTAACTTAGATCATTGGGATTTTTTTTGTAACCTAATTACCCGGACACATAAAACTACTGGGGTAGTGCCATCAATTTAAATTCCCCGTTACATTCGTTTTTGGGTGGGCCCTGTGGAAACCCCAAGAAGGTTCCTTGATGTTGGTGAGGGGCCTTGATTTAGGAAATTGGATCTGTGCTCCCCCCGAATTAGCCTGAATCCCCTTCCACACCCCCCCCCCCCCGGTTGTACAAACAGTATGTACATCAAACCCATATTGGTTACTGCAAAACACAAAGGGGGTATGTATATTTTACACATTTTTAATCATTTACACTGGTGTATTCATTACACAATAATTTTTATAAAATAAAAACTTCACTTATATACAGATACATCCCCTTTGTAATACACAAAGAGAAAAATTTTTTCTGTTTTACATGTGGAAAATATTTTAAAAATTTTCCAAAATTTTCAAATTTATATGTAAATGATGCCATATGTATTTAAAAATTTTTTGTTAGCAAAAGGGGAAAGCCGCGTCGGAAACAAGGATCGCCATCTTGGTTTTGAATTTTGTACAAACGTTGGTGAAGGGGAAAAATTTTTCGTCCCTTTTTGGGGTTAAAATTGTGTTGAACCTCTCAAATAGGAGGCAAAAATTTGGTGGTGTGCATTCCTGCAAAACTTGAGAATCAGACGAGGACAAGACAGCCCCGGGAACCTAAAAAGCTCTCTAATTTTTGTGTAATTCGGGCCACATTTTTTTTCATAGATTTTTTTAGGTAGGTTTTCTGAGTATGATACCATTAATCTCCATCAAATTGGGATGATTTAAGATTTTTTTTTCTTTCGTTTTTAATTGTGAATCAAAAAATTATTTTTTTTTTTAATTACCGTAATGGTGAAGCGGGGAGATTTTGTCCAGGTATGGGGAATTAACGCAGAAGGAATCATATAAATGACCTCATAGGGACAGGACCATAGTAGGGAAAACAAGTGTAGCAAAGATAAATAAAACCAATATTGAAACTAGAAATACCCGGGAAATAGCAAACAAAGGACCCAATAGCAATATGGGAAAAAATTCCCAAAAAAACAACTGGGGGAGCCCCATTTTTTGTCTAGGGGGATGGAATAAGACAGGGAAAAGCACCAACGGGGGAATACAGCACAAAACCCAAGGCAAACGGAAACCCAAAACCCCTGTGCACATACTATCACTTGGTATCTGCGGGCATGGGAAATCTGGAAAAAACAGAGGGGACTTTCAACTAGACCACCCTAGAAAAGTCATGCCCATTACAACAGGAAAAGCAAACTCCCTTTCCTGTAAGTTTTTTAAACCCTAAAAATTTTACCTCTTCAGACAGGAAAGACTGTGCATAATTTAAATTTCCAGGCATACCTCTAAAGGGACAAAAAACAAACATCCGGGCCAGGGGAAAACCGGGTGCCCAGCCACTAAAGAGGAGAGGTTTTTTTTAGTGCCAGGAAAAAAAAAAAACTGGCGGGAAAAATGGCAGAAATCGTACACCAAATCCATCTTTCCCTGGAGTGGAACCACAGTCAGGGCCTCCACCCCAAAACCAACAAATTCGACCAAAACCCGGGAAAAAAAACCCCCCCCCAGTACCAAAAAAAACCACCAGTCCGTAAAAATTTTCTTTGCAAATAACAGGGTAAAAACCAGCAAAAAACAACAAAATACCTTTCACCTGGATGCTTGCAGGGGCAAAGCAATTTTTTCGCGGCTTTCACTGAACCCACATAAAGGTACTTGGACAACGAAATATGATCCCATTCAACCATACGATGTGACAGAGTGAACAGGAAAAAGGGGGGGGGGGGGTTGGCCTTACTTTCAGGTCACTTTTTTTGACAGAACTGTTTAATCCCAAAAATTTCGTAGGGGAATTTTAGCAGTAAAGGTCGAAAACCAAAACCAGCAGTGGTAGCTACAAGCCCCGGAGCAACCCCCCGCATTCAGGCAGCTTTTAAAAATTTGACCCGTCTGGAAAATCTTCCAGCCCCCTCACCCAACTCTTGCTCCTGGGGATTTAACTTAAAGGGCCCTAAAATGGAGGAATAAGAAAATAATTTTTGTTGCGAATAAACCAAGGCAGCTCTGAGAAACCACATCAAACGAGCTTTTAAACCTCTGCACAAAATTAAATTTAAACCACAAATAATAGAGTACGATGGAGAAACATAGACCTCACTTCACTAACAATGAGACTGTAAAATGTCACCTTTTATCAAAAACAATTCTAGACAAAAACATAATTGAGGTTCAACATGTATGCGTGGAGCCCCAGACCGAAAAAAATGAACAGTCACGGGAGCATCCCCAAAATTCAACTTCAATAACAAAAACAAAAAGTGGGACCAAAGTAAACCAAGTCCTAACCGATATAACTGGGAAAATACAAGCAACACAGACCCAAACTTAGCCTAGAACAAAATTAACTCGGTGGCACTCTGTAGCGAAGGCTTATTCCTCTAAAAAAAAAGGGGGAGTAAGAAAAATAGAAAGAACAGCGCTCCCTTTACGGGCGAGGGAAAAAATAACAGAGGGCAAAAAGGTAAATTATCAAATGCGCAGGAGACCGGGTCAGAGAAATAGAAAGCATCGAACTTAAGCTAAAGAACCTTTAGGATCAGAATCGCGGAAGAACTAAAAGCCAAAAATGAAATCAAAAAAAAAACCCAAAGTATTTTTTCTCCTATGCCAAATAAAAAATCGAGAAAAAACGTCCATATTGGGGCCCCCTACTTAACAAGATGGTCCTACACAGATGACAGCAAGGAAATATGAGCACCAAGTCCCAAAATGACTCAGTTTTTTAGCAAACCCCTAACAACTGAGAGTCGAAGATCAAAAAAATTTTTTTTTGAGAGAGCCCAAAATTTGATTAAAAACAAGCCTACCAGTTATCCTGACGCCAAAAAGACTTCGAAAAGGCGATAAATGTTTCCCATGCCTCTGCCCCAGGGGCCCGGGAAAACCATGGAACTCTGTGTTCATCAAAACTGCAAGAACCCCTATCACACCTTTTTCCATCCCATGGAGAGGGAGCATGGCAGGGGTCGTCCCTTTTATAAAACAACAACAAGCCCCATCCACAAAGGGGGGAGTAAAACAACAGCAAAGAACTACAGACCCAAAAGCACTAAAAACCCATAAAAAACTTTGAAAGGGGCCCCAAAAACAAAATCCCCCCCATCGGAAAACCCCTCAGTTAAAACCACCCAGGCAACTGGGGTTTAACAGGGCCCCTGTCTGTCCCCCTACTGGATCCTACGACAAGTCCCAAATGCACTAGAAACAAAAAGAAGGGGATGTAATATATACAACTTTTCAAAAGCCTTGACAAGTTGACCATGGCGTAATAGCGCACAAAAGCGCGCTAAAAAGGGAAAACGGAAAAAATCGGTCGATGGGTCATAATTTTCCTCATAACAGAACACGAGAGTAGTCGTCAACAGGTAAAGTCCGAGGCAGCTACGGTGAAAACCTGTTCCCAAGGCACATATAGCTCCCTCTTGTTCCTCATCCTCAATCCGCATGCAGGGTTCAGCCAACACCCTTCTTCCTTTGCAGATACACCCCAACTGCATGACAGTTCTTCCATTGAGACACTGCAAGGGCTCCAGGCGGACATCAAACCAAATCTTTCTTGGCTCAAAAACAATTGAAATTAACGAGAGAAATTTCAATTACTCAGATATGGGTTTAAAAAGAGGAATTAAACTTCTCAGGTACAAAACAAATTTTGGCCACAAAAGAGCGAAAAACCAAACCCCTCAAAGACCGGGAGTGATTATTCGGAGATCTCAAAATTCAAGGACCAAAACATTGTTTTATCGCATCTGCTAAAAAAATGACGGGTGGGTAATGGAACCCTTTAAAATAGGGGGGCCAAGCCCAGAACACTCTTCAGGGAAATTGTTTCATCTAGCTGGAATAGCTCACTCTAACAGCACCTTTCAAGGCAAATGAAATTGCCACCTAGAAAATGTACAAAACTTTACGGCGCGCATAAAACGGAGATAAAACACCTCATTACTGGGAGCGTTGGGTTTCTAAACCTTACCCCCGGAACGCAGGGGGGAAGATAATGATTATATACACCTGGAAAAACCAGAGGGGGCTTACCAACTTGCCACGAAAAATCACTCATACGAAAGCAAAAGCTTGGCAGACATGCACCCCCCCCAAGAAAAACGGGGGTCACTACACTTAAGAACCATACATAAGTGTCGGGGGCCCAAAATGTTCAACTCCTCCCCGCACACATAAGGGGGGTTCCAACAGCCCTGGGATCTTCAAACTGGCACTGGACAAGCACCTAAAGTCAGTTCCCATTCCCCCGGGCTGTGGCTTGTACGTTGTTTGCGGCAGCCAGCGCAACAGCCTGGTTGATCAGGGGCGATCCACCAGGAGGGCCTGGTCACGACCGGGCCCGGGGGGGTTTACCCCCGAAATCTCTCCAGGGAAAAATCCCGGGGAAAACCGCCACAAATTTATATTTTTAAACCCGTATTCCTGG